TGTGTGTGTGTGTGTGTGTGTGTGTGTGTGTGTGTGTATACATATATATATATATAATTATTATTGTATAATATATACATTAAGCCTCTGGCCAGATGGCTTCACTGGAGAATTCTGCCAAGCATTCAGGAAGAGTTGACACCAATTCTAAGCAAACTGTTCCAAAACATAAAAAAGTAAGGTATATCCACTTAATTCATTCTATGGTACTAGCACAACCCTGATACCAAAGCCAGGCAAAGACATTATTTTTTTTTTAATTTATAGACCAATATCTCTCATGAATGTAGACTGAAAATTTATCAACAAAATTCTAGCCAATAGAATTTAATCTAACCAAACTCACTTCCATATGAATCTATTCTGATTCACAGCAACCCAATATAAGAAATTCAATAGCATCAGTAAATCCTAATGACACATGCTCCAATAGGATTGCTACCAGGGATGGAAGGAGGCTTCAAGATTAGGATGTCAATTAGCACAATTCACTATACAGTCATCTCAATCGATACCAAAAAGCGTCTGTAAAATCAAGACCCTTTTCTGTCTAAAACTTTCAGCAAACTAGAAGCATAGGGAAATTCCCCCCATGTAACTAACAGCATGTATATACACAAAAGCGATAGGTGACATTATCCTCAACACAGAGAGATTGAAAGCATTCCCTTTGAGAGTGAGAAGAAGGCAAGGATGATCTTTCTTCATCAGCATTCTCATCCGATATTGTGCTACAAGGTCTAGCTAGAGCAATAAGAGGACCAAGGGAAATGAACACAATGGTCGGGACAAAGTAAAGTTCCCCACTGACATGATCCCACACATAGACAAGCCCAAAGATTTCATGACAAAGAGACTGTAACTAATAGAAGGGCTCATCAGAGTGGCAGAGTATAAGTTCAACATACAAAATCAATTGCATTTATCTATGAGAGCCCCAGAAGAGAAATTAGATCAATAATCATTTCTAATAGCCCCTAAAAGAATAAAACATTTGTGAATTCCTAGTTAGATTTCTAACTAAGGATGTAGAACATGTATAGAAAGATTTTACAAACTACTACTGCCCAAAATGCAAAGAGATCTACGTAAATGGAAAAACTTGCTATGCTGATCACTCACTGCCACCAAGCCGATCCCGACTCTATAGGAATCGCCCAGATAGCACAGAGTAGAACTGCCCTTCGGGTCTCCAAGACTTTAAACCTTTATGGGAGTAGACTGTCATTTTCTCCCTCCGAGTAGCTGATGGGGCCCCACAGCTGACTGTGATTAGATGCTTAGTGCGCAGTTCACCGGGTACATGCTTTCAGTCTTCTGATGTTAAAGAGCCCTGGTGGCGTGGTGGTGATGCACTGGGCTGCTAACCCCAGGATTAGCAGCCTGAAACCACCAGCCCCTCCATGGGAGAAAGATGAGGCTTTCCACGCCCAGGAAGAGTTCCAGTCTGGGAAACCCACAAGGGCAGTTCTACCCTGCCTTCCAGGGCCACTATGAGTCAGAATTGAATCAATGGCAGTAGGACTACTGTATTAATGGACAGAAACACTTAACATTGTGAAAATGCCAATGCCGCTAAGTGATCTACAGATATAATGTAATTCTGATCCAAATATTAACAGAAATGTTGAACGAAATGGAACAGCTGACCTCTAATTTTATCCAGAAAGGAAAGAGGCCCCAGGTCACTAAAGCATTATTGAAGAACGCAGTAGGAGATGCCTTACTTGCTGACCTCCAAACCCACTGGACAGTCAAGGTAGTCAGAACAACTTGGTATTGGTACAGAGATCAGTGGTATAGGATTGAGAATCGAGGAATCAATCTCTCCAACTCTGGACTGCTGATTTTCAACAAAGGGTCAAAGTCCGTGAAGAGACTCTCTATAATGCAAGTTGACCACCAGGTGGAGCAACTTCCTCAAAGGTTTACAGAAATTCCCTCACACTGGCAGGGAATCATTGAAATGGTCAGGGGAGTTGTTTCCATAGTGATGCCTTTCTCCTGTCTCTCTTACCAGGAGTGTTTCAAGCTCTCAGTACAGAGAACAAGGACTTCATTCATCTCAATATAAACGAGGTATGTCCAAACCAACCTTCTGCTCACGAATCCACTCAGGAAAGGCATCGAATAGGTGCCCCATGAGTGTTTGCTGAATGCATGATCTTTGAAAAGGCTCACATCTAGCTATGGGGTTGATAATGATGATGATGACAGCTAATGCTTTTAAGGATCTATACATTAGTATTCATGCCAATAATTTTATGAGTTAAGTACTGTGTCAGTCTGGGTTGACTAGAGAAACAAATCCACAGGCACTTATATGTGTATAAGAAAGAGCTTTATATAAAAAGTAAATGTACATTAAGAAAACATGCCAGTGTTACAGCTCTTTTAATATTTGTCTAGCAGGTTTTCTGGTTTTTACCAGAAAACCCCTTAAAAACAAAAACAAACAAAAAAACCATGCCAGCCTAGTCCAGATCACGTCCATAAGTCCGACATTAGCCCATATGTCTGATATCAATCTATAAAGTCCTCTTCAGACTCATAAAACATATGCAATGACACCGAATGCAGGATGATCACAGGCCAGTGGGTGAGAAGTCTCGTGAATCCAGTGGCGTTGGAAGCATCTCAGCACTGGCAGGGGTCTCCACGTGGCTCCTCCAGCTCAGGGTGTTTTGTCAGCTGCAATGTCTCCCAGCAAGTGAGCGTGTGTCCCACCTCCAGTAAGCTACTTATCTCCTTAGGGCCTCCCAATGAGGTCATCAAGCTGCAACCTGATTGACAGGCCAAACTCCACCCCTTCACTCTCAAGTCTCAAATTGACACCAGATTATGTAACTACCACACGTACCAATGTTATTCTCATTTTACAGAGGTAGAACCTGAGTTCTAGAGGAAATAAATCCCCCTAAATACTGTGAGCATACAAATTCTGCCTTCCTTTCTTTCTCTTCTATAAGTTCCTTCCTTCTAGCTTCTACTTTGCTCACTCCTCCTTGCTTGTATAGACCTGTGGAGACCATTATGGTTTAATTGTGTGTGCATATCATTCTGTGTGAGTGTGTGTATGAGTCTGTCCTCATACTTCAACAACTCTGACAAATACAGCCTGTTTACTTAGTACAAAGACTGACAACAGCAATTGTGGTGGTGGGTGGGAGGGTACAGTTCAGAACTTCAGAGAATTCGGGAAAGTATTTCTGATAGCACTCAAAGTGTAGTCCACTGAATAGCAATATTGGCCTCCCTGAGGGACCTCATTGAAAAGGCGGCCACAGAGAGTCAGCATCCAATTTAACAAGACCCCAGTGATCCCTACACACATTAGGGTTTGAGAGGTACTGGCGGCACTTTCTCCTGTCCAAAGGCAAAGGGCAAGCCAGGGACATTTTCCTTCAGTGGTTTCTGTAATTTTTATATTCCATTTTCTTCTTGTCCGGCTGGAGTTAAACTGTGCTAGAGCCAGGTCTCCTCTTTGTCCTCTATCACGCGCATGTGCTCACACAGCACACTCATTTCCAAAAGCAGTGGGAACTTCGCATTAGTAAGTATGCCAAGAAAAAGACGTTGGTGGTATCATGCATCAGATAGGGGGACAGAGCCTCATTGCCTCCCTTGCTCTCTGATTTTGATTCAGTCTCCTATTCTGTACCTCAGTTTTACTATTGCCAGAAAGATTTTAGTCATTCTAAATCTTACCTCAGAGCTTTGGTTTATAGCAATCTCATAAATCGGTGATTTAGGATATTGACTCATGATAAAATAGCTAATGGGTGTGCGTATGCTTTCCCAAGGTGCGCTGTAATTTCTCTGAGAACCGACACTGGACATTTTTCTAGTATTTTCTTCCCCTTTCACATGTGGTAGCCATTTTTTGATACAGAACTACAATACTCCTCGTGAAAACATGAGGGGCCCCAACGCTCGCCTTTATTTCTGTTTATTTCAATGTTTGCCACGAATAAGCATAAAGGAAATGCGCATCAGCTTAGAGATAATGGAAGGGAAGCAAGGCAGCTTTGTTACCCAGCAGTCTCTGGGCCGTTCAAAAGCCCAGCAAAACCAGAAGAAGGTGGAATTTACTGCTTCGCAGCTAAGTTGTAACTCCCAACCCAAGACTGGATTGAAAGGTTTCCCTGATTTCTTCATCGTTTCCTCATCTCCTCAACAGCTATTTGGGATAAGGCTCTTCCCCACCCCTTTATAGTTATTAACACTCCTGGACAGTAGGAAAATCCTTTTCATTACCTCTCCTATCCCCTTCGCCTTAAACCTGGAGTTATTCTCAACCAGGACTACATATCAGGAGAGACCAATCCCTGGAGAAGGACATCATTTTTCGGTAGAGGGGCAGGGAAAGAGGAGGGTCCTCCACAAGCAGGATGGACACCGTGATCTTTTTTTTAAATCATTTTATTAGGGGCTCATATGACTCTTATCACAATCCATACA